CCTGGTCAACACGGTGAAACCCCGTCTCTACTAAAAATACAAAAAATTAGCTGGGCATGGTGGCGCGTGCCTGTAATCCCAGCTACTCAGGAGGCTGAGGCAGGAGAATTGCCTGAACCCAAGAGGCGGAGGTTGCGGTGAGCCGAGATCGCGCCATTGCACTCCAGCCTGGGTAACAAGAGCAAAACTCTGTCCCCCCCCGAAAAAAAAAAAACTTGCATGCAAATATTCACAGAAGCATCATCCATAATAGCCCAGAAGTGGAAACAACCCAAATGTCCATCAACTGATTAATGGATAAACAAAATGTGTTATGTCCATACAATGCAGTATTATTTAGCCATAAAAGAAACAAAGTGCTAATAATGGTACAACATGGATGAACCTTAAAAACATTATGCTAAGTGAAACCAGCCAAACATAAAAAGCCATATATTGCATGACTCCAATTACATGTAATGTCCAGAATAAACAAACCCACAGAAACAGAAGTAGATTAGTAACTGCCAAGAGCTAGGTCATAGGAGGAATGAATGTGGGACTGCCTATGCACATGGGGTTTCTTTTTTAGGAAATCAAAATGTTCTGAGGGTGGGTGTGGTGGCGCACACCTGTAATCCCAGGACTTTGTGAGACTGAGGCAGGAGGATCACTTGAGCCCAGGAGTTCAAGACCAGCCTGAGCAACATGGCAAGACCTCACCACTGAAAAAAATGAAAATATTCTGGAATTAGACAGTGATGATATATACACAACCTTGTATTCGAATAAACAAAATTATAATTCACATACCATAACAATTTAGTGGTTTTTTGTTTATTTGAATTATAATTATATTAAAAGTGAAAAAAAATTCAAGGTATGGACCACTGTATTTAGGATACCTGCTGCATACAAGAATGGTCGATAAAATGAGCTATTGGTTTATACTGAATTTTATTTCCAAAACAACGTGCAAGTGTATGGAACAGTAAAAAGAACTTTAAAATAAACACAGACTAGAAGATAATTTATACAGTAGTGATGTAAAGTTTTTCATTTGCAACTATGAAAAATAACAGCTTTGCTTATTTGCATCTATCCAATATCACAAACGGAGATTCCATACAACAGATGGACAGACTTAAAGGAAATATGAATCAAGAGAGAGGTTCAGAGTCACATCGAAACAAATCAAGCCCTTCTGTTGAGCTTTCCAGGCCAGTGTGCAAACCAGGGAAGGAAACCTATCCATTATTTAATATACACCTTTAACTGCCACACTTCACAGCAAATATTCTTTCCAATATACCAAATCCAACTTCCAAGGATGAAAATTTGTCAATCCTAAAGGTATTCCAAAAATAGATTTGGAATAGCAATGGAAGGTATAGCCTCCAAATGAGCTTGCTTAGAAGATAATACTTCTGTGGATAATATTGTCCTGTAAAAAGTGGTTCAAAAAGGAATCCGTATAATTTTTGTAGAGTTCCACAATGAAATTCTTAGCTAAAGGAAACATTCCTCCCCTGAGCTAAGGAAAGACATGTACTGCAAACTGCAAGTTGCCTAACAAAAAGTCTCCACTTTCTAACCTGCATTAGAAAATCCTACAACCTACCTTTGCAAAGCTATCATGCGTATGTCTCTTACACTAATCACGAACTACTGTTTAAACTGACAACACTGTTGTCCTTTTTTGCTCATGCCGTTTCTCATGAATGGAATGCCTTTTCCTTATTCATCAGAATTAAGCAAAAATCTACCACCTTATTCATGAAATCTTCCATCATCTCAGGAGAGATTTCTTTCACTTCTAAACACCCCAGCACCATCATATGACACACTATGTCTTGTACAATAACTGAATATATTACATTTTCTCTAAAGTCGAAAAGTTCCTGAAGGTTGGGGAAGCTTTCCCAGTAACTTTGTCCACACTGCCTGATAAAAGACAGATGCTTATTTAAATGACGTAAACACCTAACTGCGCTTCATCCTCAAGACAGCAACAAGTGATTAGGCAGGTACTCTGAAGGGGCAAGTTCCAACAAGCAGGTGGCTAACGCCTATAAGCCTAGTACTTCGGGAGGCTGAGACAGGAGGATACCTTGACGCTAGGAGTTTGAGACCAGCCTAGACAACACAGTCAAATCCTGTCTGTGTTTAAATTTTTATTTCAATTACAAAGAAATTTAAATAAAAATAAAAGTGGCATCAAATAACCAATTCTCACTACATAAGAAATTCCAGGTCATCCTGTGTAGCCCCATAAGACTAAAAAAATGGCATTATTCAAACACTTCCTAGAATTGCTCCAGCTACAAGCACATTTGAGGAAATTAGGGCAATCTGAAATAACTTTCTGAAAGTCAAAGAGACTCATCTGCTGTCCTATATTTAGCCAAGCTAGAGCTAAGCTGAAATCACCACAACTTTCCCAACATTAGGAAGAGCTTCTTGAAAATATGGCAAGGGCAAGGTGCAGCGGAGCAATGGGTTACATCGTATCAGGTGCTACATCATATCAGGCACAGAGAGAGCCTAGATCTTCCTGGAATCTAGACTGATCATCTTAGTCTCAGAGGACTCCTTAATAATTACCTGGTAACCAAATATCCATCTTGATCACAGTCACTGTCTGAACCCAGGACTAACTCCAATTTAACTAAACCTAATCATTTAAGCACCAACTTCACCACCACTGCCACCACAACCACCACCATCACCACCACCACCATCACCACCTGCTCTCCAAAAAACTATTAACAGAAGGCAGAATTCGATTTTAGAAATGACTGAGAATTAATTTTTAATCTAAAGTTCTGTAAATTAAATACTTTTCAGAAACCAAATGACCCTAAAGTATTAAGATAATCAGTCAAGAGAATCAAATAGGTTAACTGTTTAGAACCAAACCCATTAAATGAGGAATTATTACATCTGGAAGTAAACAAGTTACCTTTTGAAAGGTATATGGATCACTGCCAGTCCTTTTAAATATAGAAAGTTCTTAACACTACAATTAATTTACTTAGAATGCTCCTCTTAAAGAACAAAATTACACATAATAAAAGAAAACATGAAGCTCCACTGATTCTAGTTCGGAGACTATGAATACATGTTACTGCTGAGATTAAAATATTGCTCTGCACTCTGGACTCTATAATCTTCTGAACTTTACTACCTTTAAAGTGGAAATTTGGAGATTAAAGTATGCTTTAAGAAATTTGATCATCAGATTAAAATTTGCCTTTAAAAAGTGAACCCAAATTTTGATATTTACAGAAATAATTTTTGAGTCATAATGTCAAAAATCAAAAAGACAGCCAGGCACAGTGGCTCACGTCTGTAATCCGAACACTTTGGGAGGCCAAGGTGGGAGGATCACCAGCTCAGGAGTTCGAGACCAGCCTGGACAAAATGGTGAAACCCAGGCTCTACTAAAAATATAAAAATTAGCCAGGCATGGTCGCACACACCTGTAGTCCCAGCTACTTGGGAAGCTGAGGCAGAAGAATCTCCTGAACCCGGGAGGCAGAGGTTGCAGTGAGCAGAGATCACGCCACTGCACTCCAGCCTGGATGACAGAGCGAGACTCCGTCTCAAAAAAATAAAAACAAAAACACATCTTGTCACGCAGCAGTAACTAACCACTAACTAGCAATGATTGATAAAATGGGGTCCTGAGGCAGGAGGTCAAGATTAAAAGCAAACAGAATGAGAATAAGATACACGACTAATTAAAACCATCTAAACTATAGCAACATGAACTTAGAAAATTCACAGGATATGACATTATAAATTTCAAAAGCTTTCAAAGACTCAAAAGCTCTGCTGAAAAAGCCAATCACGAAGAAACACAAAACATACAAGAACTAAAAATTCTTCAAAACAATTCCAGCATTTTTTATTAACACGCAATTCTAAAAACCCATTAATTTCAAGCTTCTCAAAACCTACTATATGCTCTCTTCTACGATGGTCCGAAATAACACGTAATTCAAAAAGTACTTAAACTGATGTAACATTTTAGTAAATGTATAATAGGTTTGAAAGAATAAAACAAGCAGAGATAGAGCAGAGTACAGGATAACCGATAGCCAAAAGACTGTTTTCTGGAGGGCAGCACTGGTCTTGGATTGGCAGGAGGGGAATTTTGAAATATACTCATGAGACGAATTATACCAAAAAACTGACTCATGCCTTTATTATTTGCACAAGCATATGTATGAAAATGTACTTTTAACCTTTGGACAACTAAAGTGATATCAGATACCTTAGAGCATTGTTGCCTATATTAATTATGGGGTTACAGTCTAAATCCTTAACAAAACTCATGTTATACATTTTCGTAATGAAAAGCTGCAGAAATGGAAAGGCTTATATTCTTTAAGTAAAGGTTACCTGATTTTTCACTGGTTTAAAGTTTCAGTTTTGCTTTTTAATCTATTATCAAAAACATCTCTTGTGGGACATTGTAAAGGGCAGACCCTCCTGTCAAGCCAGAAGGCTTAAACACAAAGACACTGAGCTAACCAAGTGCTGTAATTCTTCCAAAGTGAGCCTCTCCACACCCCCTCCACCCTTCCCCCCAACAGATATGTCTATTAAATCAGTGTCTGTTCTCCCCCTCGCACAACAAAGAGAACTTCTCACCGCATGAAATTGCCGCTGAATGGACACCAGAAAGCAGGATTTGCATAATTCCTTCCAACGAAACCCTGTCGGGAAGGAGGGGATGAGGGGCCCAAGCGAACGGATAGAATCTAGTAGATTCTGCCCGGGAAGACCTGGTTCCCAAGAATATTGCCCCAGGGGAGAAGGGGCTGGAATTTTGTGCCTCCCCGAGGACTGGGCGTGGGGGACAGAGGACGACGAGAGGGCATCTCCCCACACACCAGCAGCACCGAAGCAAAGACCGGGAAGTAACAATGCTGGAGGACAGGAGAGTCAGACACAAGGATGAACTGGGGCTAGGGGGCGGCGGGCGGAGCGGAGACACCACACGGGCCACTTACTTTTTGGAGGGGGGTTAAATATATGAGTTAAGCCCTTATGGTCCCGCCGGCCGCCGCACAGAGGGAAACGGGACCTTGGGAGAGAAAAACAGACAAAACACACAGTGTGAGAGGCGCAGCTCGGCCGCCTGGCCCCTCCCGGAGCGCCCCAGTCCGCGCTCCCTCCGGCCCGCAGGGAAAAGCCACCCGCGGGCGGCCCAAGGTCCGGGAGGCTGTGGGCAGACAGGGCAACCGGCGAGGCTGCGGCTCCGGCCAATCCCCGGGAGGGAACGAGAGCGACCCCCGCCGGGGCTCCTCGTTCGGACCCGGTCCCACCCCCTCCTCCCCGCCGCACGACACCGAACACAAATACGCACACACCGACCCGTGCGTCGAGGATTAACTCCCCGGCCGCCGCCGCCCGCAGAGGAAGTGCAGCCGCTGCCCCCCGCGGCCATGACACCCCACTCGGCTCGGTCAGGCGCACCCGGGGACTGTGACAGCTCTGGCTCCCTCCGCCCCCATCTCCACCTCACGCTTCGCACACGCCCGAGCGCCGGGCGCCCGCCTGCCGCCCGCCGCGCGTGCACGCAGGGCTAGGGGCGCGCCCCGCGCGTGGGGGAGGGGCGGCGCGGGAGGAGGACGGGGGCGGCCGGAGCGCCGGTGGGGGCTGAGCACGCCCGCGCCCCTGGCGCCACCCTCAGTGCAGAGGCAGCGCCGCGGGGCGAGTCGCCACAATAAGCCCGTAGCGGCGCCAGGGCGCCGGGCCCGGAGCGGGAGCGGGATCGGGAGCAGGAGCTGGGGCGGGAGCGGGGAAGGGGGAGCGAGTAGGCGGGGAGGAGGAGCGGGAGGGGGAGGAACACGCGCTCCCGCCGAGAGCCCGCCCCGGGGAGGCGCGCGGAGGGGAGGGGCCGGCGCGCGCTCGGCGGGGCGGGGGAGCCCGCCTGGAGGTCGCGCGCGCTCGCACTCCGGGGGGTGGGGGAGGGGGACGCTCCAGCCTAAGAGGGCGGGCGGGCCAGAGCAGCAATTGCCACTTCCCCGGCTCCCTCCCTGGTCCGGGGCGGCCGGCACAGGGGTGGCCTGAGGGCCCGCGGCGGCCGGCGGAGGATCTCACCTACACAGTGAATGAGCTTGTGGCGCCACGAATCCAGTTCTTGCCGAAAGCCGCGTCTCTCAACGGAGCATTGCTGCCGCCTACACACCCTCGCCATCTTCTGCCGCCCGCCCGGCCCTGCCTCCGCCGCGGCCCCGCGCACGCCCAGCCGCGTCGCCCGGGGCCGCGCACGCACCCGCGGCCCGGGCGTCGCGCCTCCCGCCGGGGGCGGTGCGGGGGCAGGGCCGGCCTCACCTCCCCGTGGCCCCGGCGTGGCCCAGCGGCGGCCTGGGCCCGCGCGCCCGCCCCGCGCGCCGCCTGCCTCCCGCCGCCCGCCGGGCTGCGGTCCCGCAGTCCTACTCCCCTACTCAGCGGCGGCCGTCGTCTCTGGCCGTCCGGGACGGCGCCTTCCCACGGCCGAAGCTCAGCCCCGCCGGCCCCGCGCCGCCGTCGCACATTTCCCCAAGGCCACGGCTGCCCCCGCCCTCCCCGGGGCTTTTTGTTTTTTACGCCAGGCCCATTTATCGCTTCCAACCTGCCTATCGCTTGGCACCAACTGTTGCAAGTTCCGTAGTAACTGCTGCTCTGAACTTCTCGGTCGAAACTGCTCCTCCCCAGAGCCTGCTTAAGAAGCAGAAATAAGAATAAATGCCCGGATGCCGGTGGAGGCACTGAGCTCTAAGGTTTTCAAAGGTGAAATGGATACACGTTATTAAGTCATTCGGAGACTTCGCCAACATTGGGAAACCCAGTAAAAAGTGGAAATCAAGCGCTTTAAATTAAAAAATATATAGGTTTCTACTGGCAAGACTGATCGTAGGCGAAATTCTCAAGGAATTTCGGAATATTGTGCCCAAGTGAGAATGATTTTAATATTTCAAAAAACAGACTTAATTAGGAATACTTAAAGCAGTCTATTGGAAGTGCTTTAATTTCAGGTTTCAGGAAAGGGCTGGAAGAGAAATATTTTCGATGACCAAACCTCTTGGAATCTATCTGTGTCATTTAAACGTAATGCCGGTCTTAATTTTGTGAGTGTTACCTCGAAGAGAACGAGGAGAGAAGAAAGGGGAACGAAAGGAGATAGGGAAAAGAAGTGGGGTAGAAAAAAAAAAGCAGAAGAGTTCGCCCTATATCAGTGGGCCTAGTACCCTAGGATTCTGTCCTCTTCCCCCCACCTTTGGTGTTTAAGATTAAGGACAGTGCGTTCCTGCTTTTAGAAATTTAAATTTAAGTTTGAAGACTTAATTTTAATTACTGTAGTAAGTAAAGCAAAGTCGTTAAATACTTGACATCAGGAATCCCATTGGTGTATTGATTTAGGTCTTTTCAAAGGTGGTGGTCCTGGTTCTCTGCACCAGCCACTGGTGGAATGGCAGAATCGCGTATCTACCCATACACAGATGGACTGGGTGGGCCTCGGGTACGGGTGGCTTGAAATGCAAATGCAAAGTCGGAAGGCGCCTTCCCGGGACTCCTCTCACTCCTACCCCACCTCGCCAATCTTAAAATATTGATCTTTCCACAATTCTCAAACGTCCACAATATTTCATTGGCATAAGAGTATTGTCGGCCAGGTGTGGTGGCTCACTCCTCTAATGCTAGGACTTTGGGAGGCCTAGGAGGACGGATCACAAGGTCAGGAGTTCGAGACCCGCCTGACCAATATGGTGAAACCCCGTCTCTGCTAAAACTACCCAATAGGAACAAAAAAAAAAAAAAAGACCGGGCGTGGTGGCCCACGCCTGTAATCCAAGCACTTTGGAGGCGAAGGCGGGGGGATCACCTGAGGTCGGGAGTTCAAGACCAGGCTGACCAACATGGTGAAACCCCGTCTTAAAAAAATTTTTTTAAATAAAAAATAAAATTAGCTGGGCGTGGTGGCGGATGCCTGTAGTCCCAGCTACTCATGAGGGTGAGGCAGGAGAATCGCTTGAACCTGGGAGGCGGAGGTTGCAGTGAGCCGAGATCGTGCCATTGCACGCCAGACTGGACGACACGACGAGACACGCTAGGAAGTATTGAGTTTCTGGGTACATAATACATAATAATGTCCTGAGTGATGAGGGGAGAGGACTAATACGAGATAAAAAATGGCTATGGACAACCATCCTTCACGTGTGATAACAGGACGTCTTGTGTCACCTGAAACTTCCTTTCTTCGCCGCTAGGTGGCGAGTTTGAGTCTTTTGCTGCCTTTAACCAAGTTTCTATCGTGTTTGGAGAAAGTATAGTTCAGTTTCAAATAAATAAACAACGTGTAATTCTAAAATGAGTAAATAATGAATGCATTTTCCAATCACCCCACGTTAATTTGTTTAAAAAACAATCAAGCCAAGAGTAATAATTCCTCGACATAATCTTAGTCTCAGATGTATGGATTCAGAGAATCCTAGAGGCTTTAGAGATCAATTCTGTGAATGCTCTTAATTATGCAATTGGAAGCCCAGGCAAATAAGGTGACGACGAAGATTACATAGTTGCTGGGTAGAGAAAGGGCAACAAAGCCAGGAGACAAGTCTCCCAATTTCCAATTTAATGCTAGTTCCACTCTAAGTCCCAGTTTCTGCTTCACTTATTTTGAGTTGGGAACTAACTCATGGTTGACTCGTCACAAAGACCTATTTGGAAGAAAGGATAAGGGAGGTAATAATAACAGCTAATATTCATTGAGTATGTACTATATGTTTATCATTGCAGCATTATTTCACTCCAGCCAAATAATAATGCTATGAGTAGATAATTACCACATTTTCCAAATTAGGGACACAAGACTCAGATGAGTTAAATGCATTTGTCAAGATCACATAGCTACCAAATTCCCACTAAGATCTCTGTGACTCTAAGCCCCTCTCAATTGCCTTACAAGTAGAAAATTGTCTGGGCTTGGTGGCTCTTGCATATAATCCCAGAACTTTGGGAGGCGAAGGCGGGCAGATCACCTGAGGTCAGGAGTTCAAGACTAGCCTGGCCAACAAGGTGAAACCCTGTCTCGACTAAAAATACAAAATGATGGCTGGGTGAGGTGGCTCACACCTGTAATCCTAGCACTTTGGGAGGTCGAGGCAGGCAGATCACTTGAGGTCAGGAGTTTAAAACCAACCTGGCCAACACAGTGAAACCCCATCTCTCCAAAAAAAAAAAAAAAAAAAAAAAAAAAAAAATTAGGCGTGGTGGCGGGTGCCTGTAATCCCAGCTACACGGGAGGAGAATCTCTTGAACCCAGGAGGCAAAGGTTGCAGTGAACCAAGATTGCACCACTGCACTCCAACCTGGGTGACAGGGCAAGACTCCGCCTCAAAAAAAAAAAAAAAAAAAAAAACACATATCTTCATGAACCCTCAGACTCTGGAGTTAGGTACTGGTTATTTAAGCCAGCTTTTGTGGGAATTGCCTTTGATTAACCTATTAAAGAGGGAAAGGGTATGGAGTCCAAGCCACTCAAGAAACTGGATATCCCCCAAGAATGACTTGGGTTACCAGCTTTGGACCCTTGGAAGATGAATAAAATCCTCCTCACTGGTTTTTCTTTGCAAATCCATTTGCTTTTATTTTTCTAATAACTATAAACTCTATTTTCCATGTTCTCAGGTCCCTTGGATAGACAGATATAGCTTGATTTCAGAGCAGACATAGGCCAAGAAACCATGGCATTGAGTGTGCTGAGTCCAGACAAATATTTATACGTACATCCAAATTTGAAAAGAAAATGTATTTCTTTAGGTTTCAAACACTGTAATAGATATAATGCAAAAATAAAAACCTATTATAAAGTTTTTTTAAAAAATACAAAAATTGGCCA